GGTAGCAGCCCTAAATTGTCAGTTAAATGCCCTTGGAAGAACGTCATAGCTGGAAGTGAAAATTAACGTTACTTGGTTCAACCAACCTCCATGTAAAGGGAGTTGGCAGGAGGTGTGTGAGGAAAGTTTTTTATGAAGGGTTGGACAAAGCCTTTTCTAAAGGATGCAATGTTTGATCCGAGCTGCACCAATGAAGGCATTACAAGGGAACTGGAATATTTAAGCTAACTAATACAGCTCACAAATTCTGTGCTTTTGAGGTTGCTTTTGTGCTCTGGGATACAACAAACTGGGATTTGTCTGTGGGTCTTAACAAATATGGAGAGAAATGAAGTGGATGTGGAAACCAGCAGTGTAGGGTTGTGCAGTTGTTTGTGCGTTGTAAGCTGTGCAGTGGCTAGTTCATCAACATTAAACTAGTTTAGCAATAAGTAGATGAGAGGAAGCATTACGTAGATTGTATGATTTAATTATTTGACAGAATTTTTGTGTTGTGACAGGGCTGTTGATGGTTTTTGCTTTGGATTTGTTATTCCTACTCCTTTTGAATGTGTTGTGTGCTTTCCTCTTTTGTTTGATTCCCTTGATTGATTGCATTCGTTTATTCACTGTTTGTGTTTGGATTCATTGGATGCTGCTGCTGTTCATCCACAGGTCCATAGGATTTAAGATGCTGGGGTATTTATTATTTGTATTTTTTTTTTTCTTTTAGCATATCCTGAATTGAGGATGAGCTCTCTTATATTGAGAAGTTGTATTAGATTTTATATTAAATGGTTTCGGAAGCAAATGTGGGACTTGATGCCTCCATCAGGCGATGAAGGCAAGCTGTAGAAGTTTCACTGGGTTGGGTTTTTTTTAAGTAACTCTTTGAGCATCTGCTTTTAAAAGGGCATGTCATAGGTGAACTGCCTGGGAAGCTGGGAGGAGGAAGGCAGGGAAGCCAAAGACTGGAGCAGCTGGAGATGCAGCTCTTGCATCTTGCTTGAGGGAAACTTGCTTTTTTGAACTACCCCAGCGTGTTGGGCTGCCATTCCATCCCAGCCTCAGCAGCACCAGTGCAGATGTTTGCGAGGCGGCGGCAGCGCTAGTCTGGTGTAGAACAGTCTGCGTGTTGCTACTCAGAGGAGTAAAGCAGCAGTTCTGAGTCGAGCACTGAGGAATGGTGCTGTGGGTAGTGACTAACCCTGAGAAATGTGTGTGCCAGCTCTGGCTTTAACCGATTCCGTGTTGTTTTCAGATGAGAAAGACAAAGAAAACTCTAGGCCATCCCCTTTCATCCTGAATAAAGACCGTACAGAAAAAGGTATTTCTTTGGCTGCTTCCCCTGTGAAGATCTTGGCTTTGCCACAGATGGAGAAAGCCCAGAAACAATCCTACAGAGCCGAGGAGGAGACGGTGCGGCTTACACCCCAGCGTCGTGCAGGGAAAGCACTGGCCTCGCCCGCGCCTTTGCCAGGCTCTCCTTCCCTGTTACGAGCGGAGTCCTGCAGCGGGAGCGAAGCCTCCTGTGGGGCGGGAGAGGATTGCTGCTGCTTCAGCTTCACCCAGGATTCAGAGGGCAACCGGATCATCGCTCACAGAGGTGAGTCCGATTTATTTGCCAGAGAAACGGTTTCAGCAAGCGGCAGCGTAACTTTGGACTGTGGGATAAACAAACGAGAGGGCCAGCCGCTCCCAGAGGAGGCAAGGACCGGGCTTGATTTCCAACCAAGACTTGGTGCAAACCAGAATAAGAGCCTACACCAATTGAGTAGTGTTAATTCTTTAATTGATTTCTCTGAGACTGAGAACAGAAGTCCTACTGTAACGAGAGACAGTCCCTGGGCTGCTGACTTTTATTCATCTCCACAACGACCAGCCAGAGCACAGCCTCTGAGAGAGTGCAGCCAGAACGTGGGGGCCGGTTCAGCCGAGGAGGGATGGGGCAGGAAGAGGGGAGCGAGCAGTCCCTGCAGGCAGCTCTTCACCCAGGATTCGGAGGGGAACACGGTAATCGCTCACCGCTGCCAGAAGGTCCCCTCTCCCTGCAAGGACAGCGGCAGCTCTCGCAGGCAGCTGCCTGACTCTCCCTACAAGGGCTGTTCCAGCCGTGCTGCCAACAGGAGCTCGAGCAAACCGGGGGAGCAGTGGTTAGAGGTGTGCTATGATTTACTCTTCACGCAGGATTCGGAAGGGAACAGAGTGATTAAACACTGATAGGTGACCTTGAATGGGCTGCCTAATGACCTCCTGTGAGGCCTCAGGAAAGCGGGGTTTTTTTGTAAGAAGGTGGTCAGAATTGGGTAAGTGTACCCGTTGTTGCTATTGTATGGTCTAGCCAGTGTATGCAGTAGACCCATGCAACAGGCAGGGCCTCTTTGATCTCTGAAATTTTGCTTTTAATAAAAATAAAATTTTGAAGGAGGATGTTTGTAATGGTTTGACTGTTTCAAGCACGATTACAGCCTGTGTGATTAAGGCCTGGCTCTGGTATGGCCTGGTGTTTTGTAGCATGCTGCTGTTCAGCCCGGAAGAGCCCACTGCTAACGCATCTCTATTTCTTAAGATCCTGGAAGTCCAAATTTAAAGGTTTTCTAGGCTCAGCTCAGGCACCACACCATCTACTTCACGTTAGCTGCCGCGAGGAAGCGCTAGGCTCAGCTACACGCTGCTTATTTCAGGACTGTGGTTGCGCCAGCCCCTGTACGTGACAGCCGGGGTGTGTGACAGCAATGGCAGGGTCATGATTTTTTTCAGCTTGTGCGTCTGTAACTGTGACAGACGCAGCTCTGCCAGCTGCAGGTGGGAGCACAGCACTGAACTGCTGTTGCCAGACTTACCAGAGGTTTACAGTGAGGAGGAGTGTGACAAAGGAGTTGTAGCAGCGCATCTGTTCTGGGTAAGTCCGAACTGTAATCCTAACCTTGGACTCGTAGCTCTTTGGCAGGAGAGGACGCACCTGGATGGAGTGGGCCGTGCCCCCAAGGGCCTACAGCCGCAGGCCGATGCTGTTGGTCTGGCCCTGGGGAGGTGAAAAGCGGAGCGGGGAGCACTCAGGCCGGAGTGAGGATGGGTCAGTGTTGGTTTAACTGCGTGTGGCAGCTGCCGTGGCTCACCGACAGCCGCGGTTCTTCTGTACGCCACTTGTACGGCTTGTTCAACATAATCCCCTGCTTCTGGATACGCAGCATTTTGGAGGGGCGTGCTTTAGACTGGATCTGGTTTTGAAGTGCAGGGGCCAGCTGCACAAAGGCCCCGGGGGGCACGAGCAGCAGGCAGCAGAGTCCATCTGTGACCACGATCACGCTCCAGACAACAGCCTGCTTTGTCAGCAGCAACCGCCCAGTTTTTTTACCTTTTTTTTGTTTGGTTTTTAAATGGTGAGCATGTCTTTAACACTCTAAGTGTTGCCATTTAAACTATCTTTACTTTCCCCTTGGGCCAGAATTTCAGTACAACAGCTCCAGCTGGAGTTACATCACAGTCCAGAAGATAATTGCTCCGACAGGCTCTTACATCCAGCCTGCACATGGAGCACGTGTCCAGGGACCTTGGTTACAGCTCCATCTTCCCTGCAGGCAGGGGTATTCCCACCAAACTGTCACACTGAGGAGCCTTCTGGGACAGAGGGCGAGCAACCATAGCATCTGAGAGGGGAAGAGCTGCAGCAGCTCCCTATAAAAGTGATTCAAAGTCGTAAATGCTGTTTCTGCTCTCACTCACTGGGTGGGCAGAGGCAACCCAAGCCCCTTCTCTCACATTTAAGGTGGGGATGATGGTTGACTTTTTCAGGGGATAATGGTTTAATTTTTCAAGGGCTGAAGGCCTGGTGGATTAAGAAAACCCTTGGCATCTGCCTGCATGCATCTGCAGCACCACCAGCCAACGCTTCAGCTGCAGCAGCTGAAATTCCACACCCCCCCCCCAACCCCCCCAGGATCCAAGCACTGCTGCTGCCATGTTGGGGCATCTGCGCATTAGTAATGTCAAGGACAACCGGTGTCTTATTAAGGCTCCATTTTATATAAAGGAAAAAATCATACTTTAAATACAGCCATGAGGAACATCATTGCAGAGAATGTGTAGCTGAAGGAAACCTTCAGTTAGTGAGAACTGTAGCCCCAGACAGTGCCAAGTTCCTTCTTCCCTTTTCTCAGCTGACAGCTCTTGCGGTGGGTGCTCGGCTCTTAGCACTGGTGGTTCAATAAATAGACCTTCTGAATGCTAAATAAAATACATTATCGGAATACAAGGACTAATAATGAAACATTAAATTACTGGCAAGAAATTAAGGCCATTCTGTCATGCAACTGTGGGGATAATTGGTGAGTTAAGAAACACCCAGGGCACGCTAAAACCAGCCAGCATCCCTTAGACGTGACGGAGCGGTTTGATCATTGACTGCC